AGGTTCAAAACCACAGCAGTTTAAGCATGAATGGGGGAAATACAGATGTCACCTGGAGATCTCAAAGAAATGCCAAGAAGAAGTTAAAACTTCTTCCCCTAGAGTGGACAGGGAGCCTTCCCCTACAGCTGGTGCTCTGAATTCGACTTCTAGCCTCCTACACTGTGAGAAAATAAATTTCTGTTCATTAAAGACAACCACCTGTGGTATTTCTATTATAGAAGCACTAAAAGACTAAGACATTTATGCTAAAATGGCAAAAAGAGGATACTGTATTCAAAGAAGGACAAAACATTCTTCTAAGGGGATGAGGATAAGTATCCCCAAAGAAGGTTGGATTTCAGTTAGACTAAGCGCAACGAGAAGAACTTCAAAAATGAAGGTGAAATTTTCTAGAAGCAGTAGCATGACCGAAACTAAGAGTCAAAAGGCCTGTTTGGGTCATATATAGTAACAAATCTGACTAGAACAGAGAGCTTTCATAAGCAAGTAATGTGGTGATAACCAGAAAATATAAAGCAAGCCCCACATTACAGAATCCCGACTGGTAGTTTTTTTGTTTTTGAATTGTTAGGTCAAAAGCAAATTTTTTTTTAACTGTTGTAGTTTAAGTGAAAGTTTGCAATTCAAGTTAGTCTCTCATTCAAAAATTTATACATACATTGTTATGTGACCCTAATTGGTCTCCCTATACTGTGACAGCACACTTCTCCTTTCCACCCGATTTCCCATGTCCATTCAACCAGCTCCTAATCCTCTCTGCCTTCTCCTCTCACCTCCAGACAGAAGCTGCCTATTCAGTCTCGTGTATCTGCTTGAGCTAAGAAGCACATAAAATGATACTCTTCTCGACTAACATTTTATGTCCCACAGTCCAGTCCAATCTTTGTCTGAAGAGTTGGCCTAGCTGACTGGTAGTTCTAAAGAACTTTGTTCTCACTGACATTTGCTGGCCAAAATAAAATCAGTTTAGCAAATTTATTTTTAAATTTTCTACTAATCATCTAGATAAGTAAGAAATATATGTATATTTAACACCTACTTTTGTACAACAGAAGACAAAACAAAAAGTTATGGATTGAATTGTGTCCCCAAAAAATACATGTTGTAAATCCTAGCCTCTATGCCTGTGGTTATAATCCCACTTGGGAATGGGTTCTTTTTGTTATGTACGCTAAAGAGACAGGACTAGTATAGGGTGTACCCTGACTCAATCTCTTTTGAGATATAAAAGAGATTAAACCCATGCTACCGAGCAGAGACAGGGAGAAGAGAGATGCCTAGCCCCACATGAAGACTGCCCAGAAGCAAAAGCGCAGAAGAGACAAGGACCTTCCTCCAGAGTCGACAGAGAAAGCCTTCCCCTAGAGCCAGCACCCTGAATTCAGACTTCTAGCCTCCTGAACAGTGAGAAAATAAACTTCTGTTTGTTAAAGCCACCCACTGGTTGCATCTCTGTTATAGCAGCACTAGGGAGCTAAGACAATATCCTAGACTTCTCATTAATCAAGTCAGTTCCTTAAGTCAGCTCACATTACTGAGTTACTTGAGGAGTACATTTCAACTGTGTGATTTTCATTCCAGGTGTGTCTTGGACCAGGTGAATACGTGACCTGAGCCAGGGATGAGTTTTTGCCAGGTGGCTGCAATGGAAGGACAATGGAATAAGAAACCGAGACAGTGACAAGAATGAGTGAAGTGATCTAAGCTAGGTAAGGAAGTGAAGACAGAAGTGGGAGGGAGAAGCCTGTCAGAAAAACAGATGTCCAATTTTAAGGCCTCCAGGGAAGAAAGATCCAGAGGATAATAACCAGGCCATGAAAATAAGTGGCTGAAACTGAACAGAGGTGAAGGACACTGGAAATTTAAAGGTAAAAAGGTATCTAATGAACTCTTATTATAAGCTATGAGTCTTACTGGGGAGTCACTAGGGAGGGTATTGGAATTGAAGAGAGTTGTAAAGACAAATGGCAGAAAACTCAAAGGAGAAAGCCTAAGAAGTCATCTGGAATCTGCACCAAGGAGGCCCCCATTTCGCAAAATCAAACGGTCACTTTTTGGTTCTCGATTTATTTGACCTACCCACAGCAATCTGCACTGCTATCAACATCTCCCTTCTTGAAATTCTCCCCTCCGCTGGCTTCCATAACACCCCATATTCCTAATTTTCTGCTACCTCTGAATCCCTCTCGTCAGTCTTCTTGGTTTTCACTCATTGCAAAGGCTCAAGGGACAGTGTTAGAATAACTTCTCTTCTCATTCTACCACCTCCCCTTGGAGAATCTCTTCCACATTCATGTTCTCATGATCCAAAAATATGTATCTCCAGCCTAGACTGGTCTGAGTCCCAATGCCAACTCAAAAAATCTTTAAACAGACGTCTCAGAGTCTCCTCATACTCAACAGTGTCCAAAATCAATGCCTCCAAACCCAGGCCTCTTCCAGTGTCTTCCTATCTCTGTGAGAGGCACCACCTTCCACTGAGGTGCTCAGACCAGAATCCTGGGTCTCCTCAAAACCTCCTTCCTCCTCAACCTCATAATCATTCAGTCATCAAATATTGCTCATTTTTATATTCTAAATGTTCTATATTGACCTAGTTCTCTAGGTCCCCACAACTACCATCTTTTTAAAGCTTCTGTCATCTCTTACCTATACTCAGTTCCTTGGACATGCCAACTTCTGTCTGGAACACCAATCCGCCCCCACCTCTCACTTTCCCTCCATCTTGTCCTAGCTAGGTTCAAATTCAGCTCAACCTCCCTTTATCAAGGAACAGCCTGATCCTCCAGGCTGGATGAGGTCCTCTTCCTCTTGTATGCTGAGAGTGAGGGAGAAATGGCTGACTACAGGAAACTGAAACAGGTATAGGCAGTAGAACAGAGCCACTGAAATTGGTTACCATTAATTTAATAGTGGCTCCAATTTCCCCAGAGTTTATATGATTAAATTCATATAACCACTAGAGGTAGCAGAACCAAAGTATGCAAATCAGGAACTAATTTCAGAGCTTCCCTACTGCCTTAAGTGAACTCAAAACTTGAGAGATTCAACAAGTTTAGTTTACTTAGTTAACTTCTTGGTGGCTTTATAATCAAGGCTGACTAGTAACCATTGTCATTTCCGTCAAGAGAATAAAGACGGAGTCTTCCCATACCATACCATTTAATAGTAATTCAGTCAATAGATATTTATTCTTCACATACTAATTTGGAGGCACTGTGCAGCAGTATCATAAATGACCAAGACCAGGGCCAACTATAACATAATGTGATAAGTGCTGTTACGGGTGCATTAAATAACTATGTATTTGCAAAGGAGGGAGTGTTTAGTTAGGGTAGTTTGGTCCATGTGCTAGGATACAATCCACACATACCATATACCAGACTAGAAATCAAATTATGCCACAAAGTACAATATTTACTTCAGTAGACTTTTTTTAGCAAGACTTTCTCGATGAAGGAAGTAATACACAAATTTATATTCTGGTACAAGCTGGTACAAGAACTATGATAGCACTGGATAAAGGAAATGAAGAGTAAGAAGAGAGTGACAAATTAGGTGACATTTAAGGCAGAAATGCTAAGATAAAATATAAGAAAAGATAAAGATATGCTAAGATAAGATATCCTAAGGAGATAGAGAAAAAAAGGCATTCTGGTACATTCTACTCCAGGTGACCTAGATTCCTTCATTTGCTAGCCAAACATGCTCTTAAAATCTATTATATTCATCTAGTCCATGTTGAATGGCTGGACCCTACTCATTTAAAAATTAAATTCCTTTGAACTGTCCCTTCACGCTCATCCAACTTCTTCCTCTGCATGTAGTAGATCTGCGTGTGTGTATACATTTTTTTTTAACTAAATTATATTTGTTCATTGTTAGTTCTAAATCTTTTATGTTGGTTTCCCTAAAAATTATCTCTAAAACCTTATAGAACAGTAACTAACTTTTTCACAGAACAGTACCAATCTGGCACATCCCTACATATGAAAGTGGACTTAAACTGAAAACCTAAACTAAGTTGAGCAAAGCACAAATTCAACCTGCTGGTTGAAAGAGTCTAAAGTTATCTTTCTTGATCTTTGGGCATAATGCTTCCTTTTTATCAAAAATCTCAGCCTATCCTCATTTTTAATTCTGGGAAAACAGCATTTGAATTTAAAGTGCACCTGATCATTATAACAGTTCCATCTTAGTCTTCTGCTTTGGGATGAAGTATCCTAGTCCTTTCTAAAAAACAGTTAAGAGTGCTCTAGTGGGACTTTTCCTAAGTATATTCTAGGTAGACCTCAACTAATCTTCTACCCTAATAGTGTAAAATCACCAATCACACTGTAAGGCTCAAATTGCTTGGCTTTGATTTCAGGAATGAATTCCTGGTCTCTATAATCAAGGACAAGCAAGCACTTACATAGCTTGTTCACTGCTATATCCCGTCTGCCTACTATACTGCAGTCATTCAACAAATTCTGGTTGAAAAAAATAATCAAAAGAATGAACATAGCAAAGTATTATACTTTTTTCTTTTAAACAAGAGCACCCACCCATTATTGCCTCTGCCATCTACTAGGTGGCATACAGTGGCTCCCCTCAAAGAGTCAAGTATACTACCATTATGACATATTTGTCATTTAAATGAACCCTGATACCCAAAATTCCTATTAGGTCTCCCCAAAATTATATTCAAATAACAGTCTCATATAATACAGCTTACAGTCCTGTTCCCTAGTAGCAACATTATAAGGCAATTCAATGAATCAAAACTACATTAATAAATATTAGATTCTTAAACCACCAAGTAGCAATGTTTTCAGTCATTATATACCAATTCTGAAGAGCAACAAATTTAGGATTAGTCATATTCATTTGAATATTTGTAAAGTTATAAAAGACCAAATTTCCTGTTCAATGATTCATTAGGGCCAAAAGATCATCTTTGGAAGCACCCAGCCTTGTCACAGTAAAAGAGAGTTATGTCACTGAACTCTACTCACTTTCTTCTTTCTTCCCTCCATCTTGCAATCTCTTCTGGAGTGTCTAACTTGATTTTCTTCATACCAGGAGCATGCATCTAAGGGGAAAAAGTCTGCTATACATCAGGAAGCAGGCAGTACGCTTTTGACTAAACCTTGAGTATTATGGGGGATAACGGAGACTTTGTGTCCAACATTAAATTTAGGAGCAGTGACAATTTTTAAACTAAGTAAGCAGGTTTTATCCATTCTTACTACAACTTACTTTGAAGAACAATTTCTCAGGTATTTAGGTACAGCTACTCAACAAGAAAAAAAAAGTAACATAATTTCGTTACAAAGTAGATATGTCCCCCATTTTCTCAAACGACATTAAATACCCAAATGAATGACCTACCAACCAAAGTTAAGGATGAGCTAAAGAAATAATAATTACACTTAACTATCTGAAGCAGCATGGAGTAGTAAAATGAATGTACAATTTGGAGTCAAGAAGCTCATGCTTCAGATTCAGTTCCAAAGCCGTGGGCAGATCTTTTTTTTTTTTTTTTTAAATCCATTAAATGACGGCAATGACTATCTACTTCGCATAGCTGTTTGGGAGAATAAAATTGAATAAGAGATACAAAAATGCCTTAAAAAGTACAAAGCACTCCACAAATGTTACTTAGTATTAGGCTAATACTAATAAAGAGATGTGAAGGTAACAGATCGACGGAATAAAAAAAAGCACGTATCAAAAAAAAAGACGGTAAAAAAGACACAAACACAAGAACTTACATTTTTCCAATGGAAGTGGACAATCTTCTCATGTGCAGTAAAAGAACAATCTACTTCAGGACACTGTAGGAGTTTACAAAAATCAATATTCAATATTAATTTTTCATATTTTCCATATGAGATTTACTCTACTACTACACACACAGACATATTCTGGCCAGACTTACACAGTTAGCACATTTACATGGAATAATTACTGTGTACTTAAGTTAACAGCAAAACAAAGATCACTCCAAAACAACATTGCATTCTCAAAGTATACAGTATACTAACACATACCATTTATCTCTCCACTAGAGTAAAAGTATGACGTATGCAACGCTGTAAAATAATAAAATTTAACCCACTGCCGTCGAGTCGATTCTGACTCATGGCAACCCCATGTGTTACACACTAAAACTACTCTGTAAGGTCTTCTGGCTATAATCTTTACGGAAACAGATTGCTAGGCCTTTCTTCTGTGGTGCTGCTGAGTGGGTTTGAGCCTCCAAGCTTAGTAGTCAAGTGCAAACCGTTTTCGCCACCCAGGGACCTAAAATAATAAGGTGTGCACCATCTGTAGTTAGGTTTGGACCAACCTTATTAGATGGTGACTAGCCCATGGCAAATTACAGTGATATCTGGTGAAGTGGTCAAGGATAGCCTTAAAGGGGAAAGAACTCACGAAGGTGCAGAGGGCGAGTGGAGGGGAATCCCAGCCCTCTTAAAAAGCAGGAAAGGTGCACATATACAAACGGTTGCTAGACCTTCCTTCTTTGCTGCCATCTCACCTATTCCTGAAGCAATGGGTCCCCAACCCTCAAACTGCAAAGCCCAGGGTCACTGTCCCAAATTGTCAAGTCATCGAACATTTCTATGAAAGCTATAAACTTTTATGGAAAAAAAGCTTAGAATTTCTACCAAATATATAATTTGAAGGCCATTTTCCTAAATAAATTCCAGGACAATCAAGAAAAAGATAACCTACTTTTGTATGTTCAGACATGTGTTTATCATACTTTTCTTGATTTTTAAATCCACGATCACAGGTGTCACAAAAAAAGTGAAAAACTGGTTCCTTTCTTTTCTGCAAACAAAAACAAAAAGGCATTAGGCTTTTCTCTAATCAATGGTAAAAATATAACTACCCATCTAGTAACAACATAGTTTGATTTTTCATACAACCTTTACTTGTGGGAGAAACTTCTGAACACATTTCTACTGAAGGGCTGTTTCTGTTTCTTTTCTTTCTAGCAAATGTATTAGGGAAAAACCAGACATGATAAAAATTTTAAATGTGAGCAGACCTAATATAAACTCTGTGAGAAGATTTTAAATTGGCAGTCTAATGAAGATTTAATACAGCATAGGTCCAAACGACCTAAAAAGAAATATTCAGGGTAAAAACAGCACTTTATCTTTTAGGAAAAATAACCATATTATGTATTTTTCTTTAAACAATAGAAGAGAAAAAAGAATCACTTAGGTAAAGATGAGTTATTTTTGATTCTCCAATTTGCTATCTGTATGCTTTAACATGAAACAAAAAAGATTATTATTATTACAGCCTATGTAGGAAATGATCTCCAATTGTTTAATGCTGAGATTATGGTAATAAATACACTGCACTTGCTCAACATTTTGTTAATACTAACTACAGCGCTTTCATGCCAAAATGACAGTGCTCTATGTATTCTAAATCAATGGAATCATTTATTCACCTTAAAATTCAAAAACCAGACTTGTAAGCTTCATCAGAATAAGGGAAGCCTACTTTAAGATTCAGTTTCTAATGTATAACTGGGAGTTTTCTTTTTCATTACTTAAAATAAATAATGAATAACAATAAAATAACACAAAAAAATCCTGCCATTCAGAAAGAATAATTTCAGACATTACTTTATGCACAGAGAATGACTATATATAAACTATTCCAAACTTAAAACATTAAATTCAATTTTACTTGGATTTACAAAAAAGAGAAACTAAAGGAACCGTTTTTTTTTAAACACAGAAATATCATTTCCTAAAAGATCCTTCTATGTTAAAATGAAAAAAATTATGAAAAAAGAAAAGGGTTGTGTCATTACAGTTTATTCTTAATTTCATAAAATACAAAATTTACACTTCTGTTTGTCTCCTTAAATTTTGTCCTTCCTCTCTCAATCTGCTAGTAATCGTACTTCTTACTTTATCAATGCTTAACAACACTTACATTGTTCTATAGTCATAATTCGAAGTTATTTTTACTCTTGATCCTAAATGAAATGGATTCAATGCTTTCTATTAGTCCTTTTTGCACAATTTCTCCATTTTTTTTCTCAAACAGATTTTGTTTAAAGCTTTTACATACAGATAAAATCCTATTACAGCAAGGCTCCACTGTGTCAATAGTGGATGCAAAACACTGAGATAGTCATGACAGAAATGCAAGATATGAAAAAGTGACATAGGGACCAAAGTGTCACATTCAAGAACATCTTAAAAAATACCTTTTTTTTCTGCTTTCTACTGGGAGGGAAGTTGAAATCATTGACGTTTGCATCGTATTTTCGTGGAAAAAAGGAACGTTTAACTAAAAAAACAAAGAGAGATTCGTCAATGTTTGCAACTACACAATCATTTAAAATTTTATTTGCTAAAGAATGTTACAAATATCTGAATAAAAATACTGCTAAACTAGCCCTTCTAGGAAGAATAGTAGTTCAAATTCAAATAAATTAACAAAGATAAGACAAGTTTACCAAGTAACTACTTTTCAAATGAATAACAACTGATGAGATTACATGTCCCTAGGTATCTGGAGCCCTGGTGGCACAGTGGTTAAGAGCTATAGCTGCTAACCAAAAGTTGGCAATTCAAATCCACCAGCTGCTCCTTGGAAACGATATGCGGAAGTTCTACTCTGCCCTATAGGCTCGCTATGAGTCAGAATCAACTAGACAGCAACAGGTTTGGTGGCACAGTGGTCAAAGCAATCAACTGCTAACCGAAAGGTCAGAGTTTGAAACCATCAAGGTCAGAGTTCGAAACCATCAGCGACTCTGAGGGAGAAAGACGTAGCAGTCTGCTACCGTAGAGATTTACAGCCTTGGAAACTCTATGGGGTCGCTATGAGTCAGAATCGACTCAACGGCAGTGGGGTGGATTTAGGCATGTAAGTAAACAAATGTATAATCTAACAAAATGAAATTCCCTGCAGTTATTTCAAATATTAAAATGAAATCCCTGATACAGCTCTTCCAGCATCCATCTAATACCAGGAAAACACAACCTTGTAAAACACATCTCTCAAATCCCATTGCCTCTTCCCATTATCACCACCATCACCCAACTCAAAAACCTTGATCTTTCACCTAGATTACTCTAATAACCTCCTAGATTGTCTTCCAGTTCTTAAGCCCTCTGCTCTCCAACTGACCCTGCATGGTGACCCCACAAAAATAGTCTCCAATCATGTCACTACCCTGTTCAAAAATCTGCAAATGGCTTCCTAGAGTCCTTCAATGAGATTCCAGTTTATTTTCTAACACTACCTTACCCACACCCCACCTCCCACAAACTCGGATTCAATCACACTTGTTGTTAGCTGCCTTCACGTCTTCCCCAACCCTCGCTCATGGCAAACTCGTACACGACAGAACAAAATGCTGTCTAGTCCTGCACCATCCCCACGACAGGTTGCAGATCCGGCGGGCGACTGTGATCCATAGGGTTTTCATTGGCTGATTATTGGACGCAGTTTGCCCAGCCTTTCTTCCTAATCTGTCTTAGTCTGGAAGCTCCACTGAAACCTGTTCAGCATCACAGCAACACACAAACCTCCAGTGACAGATAAGTAGTTGCTGCACTTGAGGTTCATTGGCTGGGAATCAAACCCAGGTCTCCTGCATGGGGGGTGAGAATTCTACCACCATCACTAGCACCACTGCCCTCTCAATCACACTAGAACACTGCAATCTACTGAACCCACTTTGTACTGACCTCTTTGCCTCCACGTAGAAAGTGCATCCCCCAAATCCTACACAGCTCCTAAGACACTTCTTCCAAAACCTTTTCCCAATTTCCACTGCACTCTGAAATAATCTTTTATATGCCTGTATCACTAGTCAGGCACCCTGCTGGCACAGTGGTTAATAGCTTGGCTGCTAACAAAAAGGTCAACAGTTTGAATCCATCAGCCGCTCCTTGGAAACCCTATAGGGCAGTTTTATTCTGCCCTACAGGATTGCTCTGAGTCGGAATCGACTCGACAGCGATGGGTTTGGTTTGGTATCACCAGTCACACTGTATTGTGATTTGTATTTCTGAAACTTTATCACCTGACTTAGGACTGTCTTAGTCACACTCATGTTCCCACCATTTGGCATACAGTATGAACATCAATTAAGTATGTATCTGAATTCTATTTAACCTAAATTAAATCTCATGCAGAATTAACTATTTTATGGCTTTAAGTATCATCTATATGCCAATGATACCCAAATTTATAGCTCCACACACACCTCCATTGAAAGTATGGACTCATAGCTAACAGTCTACTCAATAGCTCTACTGGACAATAACATTCCAAACTCAACTCCTGGCCTACTCTTCCAAATCTGTTCCATCTGTATTCTTCCCCAATTCAGTTCCTTTTGTCCAGCAAAATACCCTTAAGTCATCCTTGCCTCCTCTTTATCTCACACTCCACATTGAATCCTTTAGCAAATCATGTTGGCCCTACCTTCAAAATACATCTACAATCAGACTACTTCTCATCACCTCCAGAGCTCTATCCTGGTCCTACCTCTTCCTGATCTCCCTTACAGTCAATTCCTATCACACCAGCTAGCTTATTCTTTCTACAACATAAATCAAACCATGTCACTCCTTTCCACAAAACCTGTCAACCGCTACCCATCTCACAAGAGTAAAAGTCAAAGTTCTATTAATGGTCTACAAGGCCCTTCAAGGTCAGCCCTCTTTCTTCGTCTTCTACAATTCTACTATGGACTCTGCCCTCTCTAGCCACACTGATCATCTCCATTCTGTTTTACAGCATCTGCCTCAAGGTTTTTGCACTTGCCTATATCCCTTTTCCCCCAGATATATCCGTGGCTCTGACCCCTGAAGTCTTTGCTCAAATGTCACCTTCCTTATGAAGCCTTCCTGGACCACCCTATTTAAATCCGCTCTACCTATCATTCTTTACTACTTCATCTCTTTCCATAGCACTCTTTTTATTTCAATAAACAATATAAGTATTGTGATCATTCTCTGTTTTCCCACACTAGGGAGATGTTACTCCATAAAAAAGGATTTTTGTATGTTTTATCCCCTGCTATATTTCCAGTTCCTGGTACATAGATGGAACCCAATAAAAATCTGCTAAAATAAATGAACCGGGGGGAAAAACATACCAGTGGTACATAGTGTGAGACATTAATGACCAGACTCCAAGAGTGCAGGGAAGAACCAGAAGTAGAGAGGAAATGGAGAAACGGTAGAGGGAAGAAAGGGTGATACCACGAAGAAAAACGGCCTACCAGGAGGGTTGTGGGACTTCTGATGTTGAGGAAAAGTATCAGGAGACTGCCTCCAGTACCACGATGTCGAAGCCTGGTAATTCCAGGAAGGCTGGACATTGAGTTGAGGCTGAGAATCAAGAGGGGACTGGGCGTCGAAGGGGGGCTGCGCCCCGGCAAGCAGCTGGGCGTCGAAGGGGGGCGGCGCCCCCGGGAGTGCCTGGGCCTCCCGGGAGGGCTGTGTCTCCGAGGCAGGCTCTGATCCAGCTGTGGGATGAGACGACGAAGGAGGTGGTGGCGGCGGCGGACGCATCATTGCCCAAAGCATCCAGTTGTCCCGCATCGGGGCAGTGTCACCCAGAGGCCCTAACGTGGGCGTCAACTCGGGGGGTGGAAACCATCCCGACGGAGTCACGAAACCACTAGCTTGTTCAGCCATGCGATCCGCCATGCAGAGAATCTTGCAGGCGAACGTGGAACAAGCTTTTAGCGTCACTTCCGTTATTGTGAATTACACGGTATAGCCAACCACAAATTGAAACGTTATTTGTCGGCGCCGGAAAAACTTCCAGCATTGGTGGCGGATCGGAGGCTGCTTTTTAGATAGATTTCACTCCGCGCGGAAAGATTTGTGTGAGTAATTCGGCACTGTCAGTGCGGATGGCGAGGGACATGATCGGGCCGGCGCTCCCGCCCGGCTTCAACGCTCGCGGGACAGCGGAGGACGAGGAGAGGGACCCGAGCCCAGGTAAGCGGCGGCGCGTCGCCTGCCAGCCAGGCCTGTTCGCCCCCTCTTTGGCCCAGTCTGGCTCTCTGAGGAGAGGCCTGAGTGGGAGGACGGAACAACTGGGAGTGGGCGCAGCCAGCTTTCCCTCCCAAGCCCTAGCAGTAGGGAGGAGGTCGTGGGGGACTCCACAGAAAGTACGGTGCATTGCGCGAGTGTTGGCCTGGTAACGATAATGCTGATTTATTCTCATTTAGCGCTTAATATGAGCCGGGCGCTGTACTAAACTGTCGACACATGCTGAGTAATTTAATCCTTTCAGGAACTAGGTAAAAACTATTATTATTCGCGTGTTACAAACAAGGAAACCGAGGATCCGATGGGTGCTCAAATCACACAGCTAGTAAGTGGCGGAGCCCGGATTAGAAGAGTGGAGCCCCTGCTCCTAACCTCTGTGCCATATTTATTGCCTTCTGAGTACAGGACCCTTGGCTTTCGCAGAAGACTCTTTGCTCTCTAGCCCCGGACCTGTTTCCCTAACCTCTCATTATGTCATTATGTCACACACGAGCGCGCGCGCCCGCTCGGTGTTCATGGCAGACCAAATTCCTTTACAGTTCCTCAGGGGTCTAGGCTCCTTCTGCCCTCACTCTCCTTGCACTTCTTTACACACCTGACAAATTCCTACCCATCCTTCAAGGCCCCCAACTTAGATGTCATCTTACTGAATCTTTTCCAAACTCTCCCAAGCATTGTCACGCCTTTCTCTTTTCCCATGGATTTTTCCTTCTTAATTCCATCACATATTTAATACATTGTATTTGAATTATTTGTCAGCCTATCTGTCTCCACCACTCCACTGTGGTCGTTCAGCCTTAACACATAGTAGGCGTTTGGAACTTGCCAAATAAATGCTTTTCAGACTCCTCCATGTGTATTTATCTCCTTTAATGTTTGTTCTAATAGTAGATTGAGATTGGCACTACAGCTGGAGAAAAGTAAACTGAAAGAGTAACCTTTCCATTTCTGGATCTAATTTTTGTTCCTCTATTACCCCTAGGCCGTGTTTTATTTATTTATTTAAAAAAAAATTTTTTTGTTGTACTTTAGACGAAGGTTTACAGAACAAATGGTTTCTCATTAAACAGTCAGTACACGTATTGTTTTATGACATTGGTTAACAACCCCACGACATGCCAACACTGTCCCTTCTTGATTTTGGAGGACCTTTTTTTGGTGAAAATATACATAGCCAAAGTTACACCATTTCAAAAGTTTTTACATGTACAATTCAGTGACATGGATTACATTCTTCTAGTTGTGCTGCTATTCTCACTGTCCGTTTTCAAATTATTCCATCACCATTATCTTCAACTTACTGCCCCCTAGGCTTCCCATCAAATCTTTTGAGTTGCTGTTGTCAATTTGATCTCACATAGATAATTCTTTTTTTTTTTTTTTTTGTATCTTAGATGAAGGTTTGCAGAACAAATAGTTTCTCATTAAACAGTTACTACACGTATTACCTAGGCTGTGTTTTAAATAGAGGTTTTCCTTTCAGGTCTCATTTCTCTTATAGCCATTAAAAAGCCATGCCCTGGTGGCGTAGTGGTTAAAGCACTTGACTGCTAACTGAAAGGTGGATGGTTCAAACTCATCAGCCGCTCTGCGGGAGAAAGATATGGCAGTCTGCTTATGTAAAGATTACAGCCTTGGAAACCCTATGGGGCAGTTCTGCTCTGTCCTGTAGAGTCCCCATGAGTTGGAATCCTCTCAGGGGTGAAAGGTTTTTATTTTAGCAAGGAAGGTTCTATTCAACTAAGGTTGAAGAAAAATGTGGTTAACCAAGTATGTGGTTGGGTTCTTATGTATAAGTTGTTTCTGTGTTCACCGTATTTTCTGATTTTAAACCAAGGCAGGATTGGCAGGTAAGCATCTTCCAAATAGACACTTCTGTTATGATTCGCTTTTATCACTTTACCAGCAGTATTTCCTCTTTCTCTCTTTCTTTTGTTCTTTAAGTACTTAGTACATTGTGCCTGTAGACATGTGTATGCCCCTCTACCCTGAAAGAGTTTTTACTACAAACTAGCTCACTGCCTAGCACATAAAAGATCTTTGGCAGATATTTGTTGACTGACTTCCCCCTTTCAGCAAGCACAATATCTTGCACAAAGTTTGCCGTTTTTAGCACATAATCATCCATGCTATAATTCCATTCGTTTTATAACCTCCTAGACGGTTCATCTAAAACAGATCCCCAAAATTCTGCAGATAACATTTTTTATCACGTTATTCTTTTATTCACATTATTGTATCTGGACTTTTAAGAAGTTTATTGGTAACAATGTCCTTGATGTATTTCTTTTTTCATTTTCTTGACTTCTGATGAAATTGCAGTTTTTTAACCTTTTTATGAAGTACAATAAACACAAAGAAAAGTGTACACATAAAACTCACAGACTGATAAAATTTCATCAAATGAAGATACCTGTGATAGCAGCACCAAAATCAAGAAATAGAACATTAGCAGCCATAGAAGCACCCCTTGGACCATCATCCAGTCACTGTCTGCCTTCCCACTCACCCCTACATCCAAAGGGTAACCATTATCCTGACTTCATAACAGCATAGATTTGATGTTGCGTACTTTTGTACTTAAGATGTGAACAACAAAGCTCTTGACTTTCCCCCTAAACCTGCTCCCCTCCTAGTCTTCACCATATTAGAAAATGGTGTTCCCATCCCTCTGGCTTGCCAATCAGGCCAACAGCCTAAGGGTCTTCCTCAGCTCCTTCTTTTGCCCTCATCGCTCACGTCCAGACCACTAGCAAGTACTCTTTGCTTTTCCTTCAAAGTTTGTTGCAAATTTAACTATTCTGTATCAGCTTTCTAACTCCATCTCCCCTATTCCTGACCCCTATGTCTATTGTCCACAAGCATTTTTTTAAAAAAGTAATTCAGGTTATGTCTCCCCCAACTTGAAACCTCCGATGACTGCCTGTGGTAATTAAATAACATCCAAACCTCTTACCATAGTCTGTTCTAGCATTTATTGAATGCTTACTATATGCCAGATACTGTGCTAAATGCCTATACTAACTTTTGTAATCTTCACAGCAACTGTCCAAGGTTGGAATTATTATAAACCTCATTTTAGAGAGGAAGAAAATAGCACAGGAAAGTTAAATAACTTACCCAAATCGGACAACTACTACATGGCTGAGCTGGAACTCAAAGCCAAGGAGTCTGGCTCTGAAGCATATGTGCTAGCACCTTTGTACTAGTCAGCTTCATCTTTGCTTACTTTGCTTTAGCCACACTGGCGTTTTTGTCCCTCAGGTACATCAAGCTTGTTCCCCCATGGGACTTTTGCACTAGCCATTCCTCTCTCTAGGTGCAGTGGTTAAGCACTTGGCTGCTAACTGAAAGGTCGGCCGTTCAAACCCGGCAGCCACTCAGCAGGAGAAAGATGTAGCAGTCTGCTTCCGTAAAGATCATGCCTTAGAAACCCTATGGGGCAGTTCTACTCTGTCCTGTAGGGTCACTGTGAGTCACAATCAACTCAACGGCAGTGGGTTTTGGTTCCCCTCTCTGGAATGCTCTTTCCTCAGACTGTCCATGGCCACTGTCAGCTCATCATGTGCATCTCCGTTCAAATGCCCTCTTCTCAACCTTCCCTGACTGCTGTATTTAAAGTTACCCTCCCACACTCCCAGTCACCTTTTCCCCATTTTCCTCAATTGATCTTATTTGTTTCTTTTTATGTTTGTTTCTCAAGAAGGGTTTAATCAATAAATGTTTGTTGGAGGACGGCTGTTGACTGTTGAATGTTGGCTAGTATAGTGGTTAAGGGTGAAGGCTCGGAAACCAAACTATCTCAGCTTCACTATTTAGTGTGTGAAGATGCGCAAGTTATTTATCCCTTCTGTGTCTGTTTCTTCATCTGTAAAATAGGAATAATAACATCTCCTTAATAACGTTGTTGTCAGGAGTAAGTAGGTTAATGCACGTAAATTTCTTAAAAGAGTGCATAGCAGCAGGAACTCAAAACATGTTATTTTTCTTTTATTTTTAAATTTTTGTTATTACTGTTGAATGAGTGGCATACCTGGGAAGCTGTTTGGAAAATTATATATCCAGGTCCCACTCGAGACCAGTTGAATCAGAATCTGGGGGAAGGGCCCAGGAATCTTTCTTTTTTTTAAGAACTATTTTGGAGATTGTGATAAATATCCAGGCTTAGGAGCTATGGCAGGCTATGACAATAGACTTTTAGCCATCACTTGTCTTAGCATCACCTGTCAGGATCAACGTAGACAGTTGTGTCTACCGTGACATTATGCCATTGTGCGGTAATTTGTAATTTTGTTGAGATGTAAAGCGAGACTAAGCCACTCTAGGACTGGGTCTGAGGGCCTTACCACTTGCCCAGCACCCGCATCCCACTGCAACTCTTTCTCTTCTGTGTCTCTCTGTTAGTAAACAGTAAAACCTTGCGTCACTATAATTTTGTTTCTGCTTGCAAAGTTGTTTTGAAATGAAAACTAAGTATGGTGATGGCAATAAAGATGTTTTTTTAAATAGTGATTCTTACTCAGAAACCAGAATTGATAATTTTGATTCTTGATGTATGAGAGTATGAAATAGTACATTTGTTATTTGTTAACTCTGTGACATAAATATGTCTACCATATGCTGTCTAAGGAAAAAAAAATCATGAAACTTTTGGCAAGTGCACCAACCAGTACAAAAACTGTATGTCATCAGGGAAATAATATGCTGTTGTTAAATTTATAAATTTGGATATTAACAAAGTTCTTGTGACTATATTCTAGTTATACTATGTAAGGCATGATTTCTGCCTTCCTGGAATTACAACGTAATTGGGAAGGCAAAACCATTATACATAAAACGTTAGCAAATGATAGTAAAGTTCATAGTGAATGATAGACAGCCAGTGCTATGAATTGCAGAAAGGGAAGTGAGAAATGTCAGCTAGCGCGTTCATTGGAGCAGTTGTGGTTAGTTATGACATGCACAATAAATCGTCTTCAGTTGCAGGACCAGCTTTGCCCCCTAACTATAAAAGCAGTAGTTCGGATTCATCAGACAGCGATGAGGACAGTAGTTCTTTGTATGAAGAAGGAAATCAGGAGTCTGAAGAAGATGACACTGGTCCAACTGCAAGGTCAGTCACTTACATAAATGATAAACCAAGCTGCATACCTAGTGTAAGGTGGCTGCAACAGGTAGCCGCGAAAGGTATATCAGATCTGTATTAGTACAGCACAGGAGAAATGTTTTCACATGGCATCTTATCATGAACTTCACTTTTTACAGAGAAATTTATTCTAATAATGTATAGCTGTGAAGGTATCTAGAATTTCAGCTGGTTTTTGTGTAAATAATTTTCATTAAGGTATTATTAAAGTGGCTAAATAAACTATAAAATATCTTTTTAAAAAGAAATTTTTACATGTCATCAGGATTGGAGGAAGACTGATTAACAACCTGCGATATGTAGATGACACAACCTTGCTTGCTGAAAGCAAAGGGGACTTGAAGCACTTACTGATGAAGATCAAAGACTACAGCCTTCAGTATGGATTACACCTCAACATGAAGAAAACAAAAATCCTCACAACTGGACCAATAAACAATATCATGATAAATGGAGAAAATATATTAAATTGACAAGGATTTCATTGTACTTGGATCCACAGTCAATGCCCATGGAAGCTGCAGTCAAGAAATCAAATGACGTATTGCATTGGGCAAATCTGCTGCAAAAAGACCTCATTACAGTGTTAAAAAGCAAGGATGTCACTTTGAGGACTAAGGGGTACCTGACCCAAGCCATGGTATTTTCTGTCGCCTCATGTGCATGGGAAAGCTGGACAGTGAATAAGGAAGACTGAGGAAGAATTGATGCATTTGAATTATGGTGTTGGTGAAGAATATTGAATATACCGTGGACTGCCAGAAGAATGAACAAATCTGTCTTGGAAGAAGTACAGCCAGAGTGCTCCTTAGAAGCAAGGATGGTGAGACTTTGTCTCACATACTTTGGACATGTTATCAGGAGGGACCAGTCTCTGGAGAAGGACATCATGCTTGGTAAGGTAGAGGGTCAGTGAAAAAGAGGAGGATCCTGAACAAGATGGATTGACCTGGTGGCTGCAGCTATGGGCTCAAACACTGCAACAATTGTGAGGATGGCACAGGACTGTGCAGTGTTTTGTTCTGTTATACATGGGGTTGCTATGAGTTGGAACCGACTCAACGACACCTATAACAACAACATGTTTTTTGGTTAAGTAAATGAAAGATTTTCTTCTAAGACTGGATTTCTTTTTTTTTAGTTTAATTTTTTTGCTGTTGAGAGTATACACAGCAGAACATACACCAATTCAACCGTGTCTACATATACAATTCAGTGACATTGATTATGTTCTTCCAGTTGTGCAACCATTCTTACCCTCCTCTTCCAAGCTGTTCCTCTCACATTAAGATACCCTCACTGCTCCCTGTGTTTCCTATCTAATCTTTCGAGTTGCTGTTGTCAGTTTGATCCCTATAGGTAGATCTTAAAAGAGCACAGTGCTCAAGGGAAACATTCTTTACTAATTATGCTAAACTATTGATTTGTTTAAAGATTTCAGGGGATAGTTTTAATTTAAGGTTTAAAGATCATCTCAAGGCAATAGTTTTGGAGATTCATCCAGCCTCCATGGCTCCAGAAAGGCTAGATTCCATGAGAATTTGAAATTCTGTTTTGCAATTTCTCGCTTTGATCAGGATTGTTCTATAGAATCTTTGATCAAAATGTTCAGTAATGATAGCCAGGCACCGTCCAGTTCTTCTGGTCTCATGGCAGAGGAGGCAGTTGTTCGTGGAGGCAATTAGCTACACATTCCTTTTCCTCCTCCTGTTCCTGACTCTCCTTACTCTTTTGCAGACTAGATTTATAGTCTAGCCTGGTGGTGCAGTATTTAAGAGCTCGGCTGCTAAATCAAAAGTTCAGCAGTTTGGATCCACCAGTCACTTCTTGGAAACCCTATGGAGTAGTTCTACTCTGTCCTGTAGGGTTGCTATGAGTCGGAATCAACTCGACGGCAACATTTTTTTTTTCCCTTACCATAGATCAATGTGAATAAGAAGTCAAGTGTTTGTTTTTGTGAGCTAGGTTTTTTGATGCATTTTAAAGCTCATGAGACAGAAATAGCAACTTAAAATGCTGCCTTAAATGAATCTGAAAGTCGAAGTCAGACTTTTTACTCAAAAGTGTCTAGCAAGTAGACTATTCAGAGCTTCATTAAGCAGAATTCTTAATACCACTGAAAGTATAGAAAATTGATATTGCCGTAAATAAGTAACCAGTATCAAACCATTGTTAGGCCAAAAATAAATTCCAGGAAAACATTAGTATAGGAACCATCATGATGTTCATTTTTTCTTATTTGGCAAGATTAATTTATGTGTTTCAGTATTTATCCAACTGGTTGAAGTTAATACTTCTTTAAAAATTAAAATTTCTCTTTGTGAAAAATGTTTTGCCATAATTACTTAAAGTTACACTGCTGTGTTTCTAGAAAACAGAGGAGAAGTCAGGATGATGACGACGATGACGATGATGGGTTTTTTGGACCAGCCCTTCCTCCTGGATTTAAAAAGCAGGATGATTCTCCTCCAAGGTGATAAATACGTAATGTTGCAGGCCACTCTTGTCTAAATATTTCCACTAATGTCTGTTAATCTGTTAAAAAGTTATCTGAAATTGTTTTTTAATTAATATATTTATATAACATTTGAAATAGGTCATTCATAGGGAAAAGTTGTTTCTTATACTAAAACCAATTATTTACATGTTTATGACACTTTTATAGTTTACCATAAAACTTCCACGTGTCTTATTTGATACTCAAGAAAGTGTTTTGTGGTAGACTGAATAGAACATTATCCCTCTCCTCTTTTTTAAAAACAGATAAGGAAACAAGTCCAGTGACTTACCCAAGATTGTACACATAGTGGTAGAGCTGGGGCTAGAATCCTGATACTCTCACTTCTAATTCTGAGATTTTCTTAATTTTTTATTAATAAACGAAACAAATCTCTATCTGCTAAATTAGACAATTTGACTAACTTCTCTGAACCTCAAATTTATCATCTGTAAAATAGGATAACAAGGAGCCCTGGTGGCACGTTGGTTAAGTGCTCAGCTGCTAACTGAGAGGTTGAACCCAGCCACTGTCTGGGAGAAAGATGTGGCAGTCTGCTTCCGTAAAGATTACAGCCTAGAAAACCATATGGGGGCAGGTTTATTCTGTCCTGTAGGGTCACTATGGGCCGGAATCGACTTGACGGGAGTGGTTTAAAATAGGATAACAATACCTACCTTACAGAATTATTGTGATGCTTGAGATTTCATTATGTGTGTGTGAGCATGGGTGTGTCTCATATGGTATCTGGCACAGAACAGACATATAATATTGATTCCTATCTTCTCTGAATTAAAATTTTTTAAAATACTGAATATGAAATTCCACACCAAATTGTTTATAGTTCATCACACTATAGACCAATATGCAAGAACAAGTAAAAAAGCTTGTTATTCATTTTATGTCAAAGTTTATGACCCACATTTGGCATCTCCGAAGCTTCATATAACTTTGTCCCTTTTAGATACAAGAGGGATAGGCCCCCAAGCTAAGAATGATGTTTACATTTTTAAAATGTTGTTTAAAAAACAAAGACAGATATGCCACCGAGACCCATATGTGACCCTCAAAGCCTAAAATTTACTTTCTGGCCCTTTACCAAAAGTTTCCTCATCTCTGGGATATAACTTTCCTTTTAAGAAAACACATTACTGAGATGTATAGCAGTTTCCTTCTTGAGAATTGTATTTTGTCAATAATAGAATATATAGTGTGAAATGAACAGTTGGTAGCATATATTGGGGTCAGAAACCTTTAATACAGTCGTAGCATACCATGGTTGCATTCCTTCACTGTATTATAAAACCTTACATACAAGTAACTTTAATCCCGGAATCCTGGTGGCCCAGTGGTTAAGAGCTCAGCTGCTAACCAAAAGTTCAACAGTTCAAATCCACCAGCTGCTCCTCGGAAACTCTGGGGTAGTTCTACTCCATCCCATCGGGTTTGGTTTGGTTGGAACTTTATCCCCACAGGAGCCCTGGTGGCACAGTGGTTAAGAATTACAGCGAGCTATGGCTGCTGACCGAAAGATCTGCAGTTTGAATCCACCAGCCACTTCTTGTAAACTCTATGGGGCAGTTCTACTCTGTCCTATAGGGTCGCTATGAGTCAAAATCGACTCAATGGCAACAAGTTTGGTGTTTTTGGTTTTTTTCCCTAGAAATTCCCAGAGACCAGAGAATTGAGCTGTAATTGCATTTGTAGATCTGCAAAAAATTGTGCTTAGAAAAAAATCCTTATAGCACTTTATAGCACAAAACCAAAAAAAAACCTAACCTGTTACCATCCAGTTGATTCCGACTCATAGCAACCCTGAGGGACAGAATAGAACTGCCCCATAGGGTTTCAAGGAATGCCTGGTGAATTCGAGCTGCCAGCCTTTTGGTTAGCAGATAGCTTATTGATGTTAAATAATTTGATCTTCCTAACAATACTAAACTTCACTGTTTTTCATATGTAAAATAGCTTTGGCTCAAGGAGATTTAATGAACCAAGGTAAAAGGTTATTAAATGACGAGGATCAGAACCCAGCCCTTCTGATTCTTGGTACTGTTTTTTCTTGCCCGGAAGCCTGTCTTTGAGGCTCTAGTTGAGCACAGTGAAACCTGGAAAAGTCAGCTTAGGACTTCAGTGCCATGTTTGTTGGTAATACTTGTACAATGATGGCTGTGGGAAAACGTTTGATATGAAGGAAACAGTAAAGAAATGTAAATGTTTGAAAGAGTCGAAGTATCTTTTTTTTTTTTTTGTATTTCTTCCCTACATAAGTAAGGTTTTCTTTTTGTAAGATCCAAAATTGCTATTCTCCCTTTTGAACTGATGACAGTCTCCTCAGAATGTGTCAAAATGCAGCTTGAAAGGAAATGAGCTTTGGCATCAGGTAGACCAGGGTTCACGCTCCAGTTCTGCCCCTTCCTCATTGTGCTGACCTTGGGCATTACTTTTCTCACTTAGAAAGTGGGAGTTTCTCATACCAACCGGGGTTGTTTTAAGGAAACAGAAAGGTGCACTGGTTGAAATATGGCTAGCACACCACCTCTTCCTTCTTCTGTGGGTCTCAAGTGAGCTAGCTGCATTCTTCTACACTTCCATATCATTATCGGATTATCAGTGAGGACAACATACAGATTTTTATACCACCTTAGCACATACGCCATATAATGCTGATCTGTGTGCGCACATGCTGTATATATCCTTGTAAGAACTCAGTCTGTATAGACGTAGTTGTGACTACAGTGCCCCTAAGGTATTTTTCAGAAGACACTGATTACCAACACTGAAAGCCAAAGCACAAACTAGAAAAAGACCTTCACATGCTTCAGTCCATAATAAGGACTTTTTAAAAGCATTGTTCTGTTAGGAAGTGGGTGTATTCCAGTGCCACAGAGATTGCAGATTACTGGGTTAGTATCTAATCATCAAGAAGTAGAAAGTTAAAATGCAAAAATTAGATTTTTTTAAGACACTCAGAAGAAAAAATACACCCTGGTGGCGTAGTGGTTAAGAGCTATGGCTGCTAACCAGAAGGTCGGCAGTTCAAATCCACCAGCCACTTCTTGGAAACCCTGTGGTGCAGTTCTACTCTGTACTATAGGGTCACTGTGAGTCAGAATCGACGGCAACAGGTTTGGATTTTTGGTTTTAGAGGAAAAAATACAGGTAATACTAGTAAAAAATACTAGGTAATATTAATAAAATGATGTGCTAAATGAAAGTCTCATTTTCAACATTTGTTACTAACTGGCTTATTTTTGTGAGCTTTTATTCTGAAAACTGTTTTAAAGTCAGGGAGAATGATAAAGGTAAATTTTCTTTTTCAGGCCAATAATAGGTCCTGCATTACCACCTGGTTTTATTAAATCTACACAGAAAAGTGACAAAGGCAGAGATGATCCAGGACAACAAGTATCATACTTCAACTCTGAGGTTTGTAAGATTATAGTTTAAAGAATAAGATGTAACAAACTTAAAACTTTATATAGTAATAACTACAATCATTTGACTCAACTGTAATGGAAGACGTTATATTCAGATTACTTTAAGATCATAACCTAAGTAGATGAAATCAAATGCCATCACAAACTTAAGATCCGTTAGAAGAATACCAAGGCAGTTACATTTTGACAGGGTGTTATCTATATACGTATGCCTCTCATTTTTGAGGGAAGACTTTAAAATGTCAGAAAATAAAACACAAGAAAAAGTTTAAGGAATTTTTGCCATTTGACCTGGAAGAGAGAGAGCTGAAGAACTTTTTAATAATGGTCTTTATCTTGAAATTAACTACTCTCTTAACCACCTGGGCCCATAACCCAGAGGTCGATGGATAAAAACCATCCTCTGCTATAGACTTTGGAGCCCAGGTGGCACAGCGGTTGAGAGCTCCGGCTGCTAACCGAAAGGTCAGCTGTTCAAATCCACCAGCCCCTCCTTGGAAACCCTATGGGGCTGCCGTTCTACTCTGACCTGCAGGGTTGCTGTGAGTCAGAACTGACTCGACAGCAGTGGATTTGGTTTTTGTTTGTTTTTATGTTTCTTGTTTTTGAAGGAAGACTTTAAAGTGTTAGAGAATAAAACATGAGAAAAAGTTTAAGGAATTTTTGTGATTTGACCTGGGGGAGAGAGAGCTGAAGAGCTTTTTAATAACGGTCTTTATCCTGAAATTAACTACTCTCCTCCTCAGCTCTGGTAACTGTATATAACACATACACAGGTGGATGAGTGATTTTATGAAGAGATAGGTCAAGTGATTTTGGAGTAAAGTATGCAGGCTGTATTTCTAATTAGAAACCTGGTATGAGCTGAGACTTTTAGAATATAATTTGTAATGCATTTTCCCATATATGGATTTTATTTTTATCTTATCCACAGCATCATGAAATAGATATTATCTGTATCTCACAGATGCTAAAGACCAGAGAAACTGGGTAATTTACACAAGATCACAGAGCTTGTACTTACTAAAACCAAAGATGAAAGCCGGATCTTGTGACTTTAAATCACTTGTTCCTTCTGTTACGCTTCAGCATCTTCTTGTGTATGAATTCGTATAACCAAAAGACTCCTGAATTCTCAATTGAGAATTCAGCAGTTACACTGAGGCTGTTATTGAAAGGGAACATAATGCGCTGGTTAAGATCATGAACTTCAGTGTTATTTCTTCATTCTTTCAACAAGTTTTTATAGAGGACCTACTGTGTGTAGGTACACAGTCACAGAAATGAATATGCCAACAAATCCTATTGTCCCTACCGTCAAAAGACATCCAGAATCCAGCCATTTCTGCTGCTGCCCTTATCGTAACAAAAACAAAAAGTTGTCATCAAGTCAATTCCGACTCATAGCAACACTATAGGACAGAGTAGAACTGCCCCATAGGGTTTCCAAGGAGCAGCTGGTAGATTCGAACTGCCGACCTTTTGGTTAGCAGCTGAGCTCTTAACCACTGTGCCCTTAGGGCTCCACCCATAAAACAAGTATGCTCACTGTCATGTTTCACTTGTTCTATTGGTCTTCATGCTTGGTCCTTGCCCCTCTACTGCCTGTTGTTAACAGCACGGCTAGAGTGGTCCTAGTAAGACTAAGATCATGTCACTCTAACACTCGAAATCATCACATTGCTCCTCCTCTTTGTGAGCAAAAGCGAAACAAGACCCTATACAGTCTGCCTCGATTAGTACTCGGATTTATCTCTTACTTTGACCTGGCCCCACTGACCTGCTTCTCATATACCAGGCAGCCTCCTACCACTGAGCACACTCCGCCTGCTGTTCATTCTGTCTCAAATGCTGCTCCCCCAGAGAGCTATGTGGCTTGCTTCCCAGACCTCCCTTAGTTTTTTGCTGGAATGTTACCTTCTTTCTGAGGTCATTTCTGACCTCTTAATTAAAAATTGCTGACCTCTCTTCCCTTTACTCCTATTCCCTTCCTTCCTTTAATTTTTTTTCCCTAGCATTTATCACTGCCTAGCATACTACTTATTTTACTGTTTTGTTTTGTTTTTTGTTTGTTTATTGTTGACCTCTCCCCACTATAATGGGACTACATGAGGACAGGGATTTTTGTCTGCTGTATCCCCAGTGCCTTGTACATAGTAGACTTCCAAAAGTATTTGTTGAAAGAATGAATTAGTCAGACATGGTCCCTACCCTTATCACGCTTACAACGTTGTGGAGAATACAGATATTAAATTAATAATTTCTAATGTGACGAGTGATGCAAAAGGGAAGACAAAGTATAATGGAACCATGACAGGGGAATCTAAACTGAAAAAATGAGAAAAAGTCTTTATCTCTAAGAAAATGATGCCTACATGGAAGATTGATGTGTTGGATTATTTGAAGAAAGTTAGGGTTAAAGAAATCCAGTATGGTACAACAGAGAGAACGAGGAGGATGGTGAGACATAAGGTCTAAGAGGTAGGGAAGAGCCACACCAAGCTTTGAGTCCTGGGGCAAGTTACCTTACCTTAAGAGCTTACTTTTTTTTATTACCAGTAATGTGCATGTGGGTTATACTTACCTCTTATGGTTGTTGTAAGGATTAAATCAGAATAGTATATGTTTGACTTACAATAGCTATGCAAGTAACTGTGAAGAATTTAGGCTAAGTATGAGGAATCATTTCTAACAACATCGTTAAATATGAGAATAAATTACTGAAAGAAGGACTTCCAGCCATAGGAAGACTATGCCAGGCTAGGCTGTCTCTGCCACACGTACAAAGGAATGCTGGGCGAAAAATAAAATAGCAACAAAGTTAGTACACAGCTAAGCTCAGAATACAGGAAGAGAAATCTACAGGTGCCGATAACATTGAGAGAATTCAAAGCCAGAGCAGTAAGACAAGTTGACACAGCAGGGGACCCTGGTAGTTTTAGAGACTCCAGCTTTAAGTCCTAGAGGGTTGGGACTAGGGACAGGAGCTATAACGTCAGGCTTGCTTAAGGCGGAAGAGATTGAATTGAGCCCCCTGCCTAAAACCGACAGCCTCAGAATACTGCTCTGTCTGTAAAAAGAGTAGTAGAAAATGTTGGCCCACTGTCCTGGAAGAATGTCAGGGAAGCTTGCTTCAGTCTAGGTCCTTGTCATGCTATCTGCTGCCTACCTTCAGATGCTTTGGGAAGCGGGGACAGAGAGAAGAAATAGAAACGTGGTAAAATCTTTTTCGGTAAAAGTACATGGGTATTCATTTACTAGTTAGTCTTGGCACTTTTCTAGAGGTTTTAAATTTTTCAAATTAAAAAGTTGAGAAAAAAATTTAAAAGATGTAGCAAAATTCAACTTTATTCATACTGGGAACTTTGCTTAATCTACTTAATTAGCAAATAGGTTGTTTATATAATTCTCTGGGTAGTACATTTTCTATATTATCTGGCTTCTCTTAGCTAAAGGTTGGGGGTGAGGATCTGTTTGAGGTATTCTTGGTTCTGAATTATTTGATTGATAATTTCCCTTTTGACTAATCCTTTTTCAAAAGACACTTCTATTTTTTTTTTTATTCTTTTTTTTTTATATTGTACTTCAGGTGAAGGCTTACAGAACAAATAGTTTCTCGTGAAACAGAAGTGCACATGTTGTTTTATGACACTGGTTAACAACCCCACAACATATCAACCCTCTAACTTCTCAA